AATTCTAGGCTAATAAACCGGAATCACTCTTTAAATGCGTTTGAGAGTTGCGCTTGCATGCCTCATTTTTGGGCTATTGCATGAGCTTCATTTTTGTGCATTGCAAGCCATCATTTTAGTCCATTTTGCCACTGTTTCGGGTCTGCATAGGGACTGTTTGGGGTTGGTTTGGTCATTTGGGCATCGCTTTGGATACCTCTAGTGTAATGCACTTCACTAGTTTCGGTGATTGTGTCATCCAACATGCATCGGGTGAGTTGTTTGCATGATTCGGGACCATCTTGTATGTCATTTCAAAGCTGGAACTTGTGCCATTGTATGCCGTATTTCATCCTTTCAATGCTTTTGTAGAGTTATATCTCGTACCTTAGGCTTTGATCCCTTGCATTGTGCATGCTTGTGTGTGTGTCTTTACCTTGTTTTCATCATGTTTGGCCACTGATTTGGGTGTAGCTGAGGTTCATCCATCTTAGTTTAAGTCCATCTTACATTGTGTATGCCATATAGTCCATGTTATCGCAAGTTTGATCATTGCATTGCGTATGTTAGTGCATTGTATATGCATGCCATATAATCCATGTCCATTGAGTATGCCATTGATTAGTTCATAGCATTGTGTATGCCATTTGCATGCTTGCATGTCATCTTTTGCATGTTTACATCACTTAGTCGCATTACATTTAGGATTGCATACTAGAGTTGCATTTGTACATGCCATGCCATTCTATTTGTTGCATTGTGTTTGGAGTAGGGTTTAGTCCAAACACGGGAAACGAGAGACGTTTCATACTCAAAGTGATGAAGCGTGCCTCGATTCCCGGTCGCCGACACTCTTGACCATCCATGATGGAGTTGTTGGTTTTAGTTGCTTATATGTGCATTCGTGTCCCATTGAGTCATGCAATTTAACTCCTCGGCCATCATGCATCGGGATACGTGATTGGTGGCTCAAGGATCGAGGACTACACTTTCTAGAGCTTATGCAATGATGAGGAGAATGGTCGGGCACACATATGTTGAAAATACCTTGCCTTCTCTCTCCCTTGCCTTTGTTGTAGAAAAAACAGAAACGAGGAGAATGAACTGGTCGGCCGACCAGGTTTTCTGGCAGGCCGACCACCTTTTCTGGTCTTCACCACCAAGGGTGGTCGACAAGTGGTCTCCCTTGTCCATAGCTTGGTCGGCAGCCTTCCCACAGCTTCCCTAGGTGGAGTTTCATCTCTCTGGAGCCTCATGCAACTTTCTAAAATCAATTGCAAACAAAGGTGAGTCGAGGCATCGCGATGGATTTCTCGACAAGGCGACTCGGACATGCATGCATCCTTTATCATTCAAGGCAGAGCTGATTCAATCCATTTCATGTAGCTTGCATGCTAGTTTATTTGCTTCCTTAGTTAAATTTGTTAATTAGCTCGTGTTGTGTAATAATTAGCTGTAATTCGTTATTCATCTGGGTTGTGTAATAATTAGTTTATTTAGGTTAGATTAGCCAGTTGGTTGTGTATTATTCATTCGGACCCTCCGAGAGAGGGCAATGTTGTAATAAGTGTGCGTATGTGTGATGTATGTCTTCCAACCCCACGTCTTTCTCCCTTTTATCTACCAGCTTATGATGGTTAGTTTTAGGGCACGTTTCAATTAGCATCCTTATGCTCGTATCTTTGCATCCATTCATCTATTTTGCATGCACCGGGCTCGGCGCATCATACTAACTGCATTGTATTTCAATTCCGAGTTGAATACATATTATCTGTAGCACCTCATATGCCATCTTAGAATAGCCGAGCCTATCTTAGTTGCATCTTGCATGTGTTGCATTAGCCATCTTAACATGAACTAGGATCATGCATTGATTACTAACTAGTTTATGTTTTGACTTGAAGTACTCGGTGAGTGTTTATGCTTTAACATCCTTGCATGCATGTGAGTGACTGCCATGATAGCATGCTTACCATAAGGTTATGTGCTTATGTGATATAACTGTCTGAATGCCTGTGGGTGAAGGTCGGGTTGCTTGAATTGGAATAATTCGTCGAAACCCGTGTTTTAGCCTACTTGTGAGTAGCAAACTTCAATCCATTTTCAAAACAAACAGATATGCAATGCTTTGTTCCAAATTAGGCAATCTAGTCTATACTTGTATGCTGTGCGCATCACATAGTAATTCTAGGTTAATAACTGGAATAAGAGCACATGTGTTTTCAAAAATAAGATATCATGCTTAGTAGTAGCCGATCTTTGATCGGGCGAGCGGGGGTGCTCATGAAATGACCTTCCCCAATCGTACCCAAGTTCCCGAGTCGAGGCAACTTTGGTGATGACGGACACGTGGCCTTAGGCACGAGTCAGGGTTTCCTAAATTTCCCCAAAATAAAATATTTAGGTGGCGACTCTGTATCTGGCAAAGCAGTCCATGTTTGACACTTCTTTCTAAAATCAGTTTTTCAAAATGATTTGCCGGATTTGGACTCTTTGGTGATTTATTGATCATGCATTACACTTTGTGATATTAGATTCAGAACCGTGACATTGAGTCCGAACTGTAGTAAGCCCAATGGACGAAACGAGATTTCTCCCGGGACGTTCGGGGACGTCTACAGTTATACATGAAACTTAATTCTTGATACGACAATATCAATTGGAATGCTAGATTTTTGTATAGTATGTTTTTTAGTTTTAAAGAGCACGTTTTTTTTCCTCTTGGTTCAGTTTTTGCAGCATTTGACTAGAAATGACAAAACATATATAGGAATGCATGCTAGCTTTCCATTTGTGTAGATGTACAAGTATATACACCTATGTATGTATGTATACATGCAGATTTAACTGCAAATTCAAAGTACCTTGCTCTGATTGAATACTACTAAGCGAATTATCGGCAACGCTTAAAATCGACACATGGTATGGCAGGCAAAGCAGCATAGTTATTATCAGGGTAAAAATACACCAATCTGCAGGTCTTGGCTCAGCTAATGAAGGGCTAAGCTTCAAATTTTTCTAAGAAAAGCTAAAGTAGAGAACACAATTACAATAGCTGAAAGAAAACTATATATAAATTTGACTTTGGTTTCTAAGAAAAAGTGAAGGAAATGAAATTTCAAGATTGAGTTGTTCTTGTTTTGGCTTGAAAAGAACAAGAAAACCCATAAGAACTTAGTAAAATAGTTCAATTAGGCTGAGTTGTGACAGGTTGGTGTACTCACTGCATTAATAACATATGATTTGGGTTCTCTTAAAGACATTGAGAGCGAAAACATATCAAGGGATCGTGGATTCAGGGCACTTTCTGAGGCAAGCTACTCTTCACTAAGCAAACATGAGCTTTATGTTGGACACAGTTAAGCATGTATATTAATTCTTTATAACTATAATGAACTTCACTTCAAAAGTGACAACTTATCCAATTTTTATTTTATTTTATTTGCAACCATATTATATTTTGAGATTGCACTTAGTATGAGACAAGATTTACTAGTTTTTGAAACAGTATTGTGTTTTTTCATTTTTTTGGGTGGAAATTCTGTATGATGGTCATTTTAGCATCTCTGACTTTTGTTTCTCTAGTAGGTGGTTGGAACAATATGGCATAATACCGTTGTCTTATTGTCTTATTACTTATCTTTTGTAGGGATGCTATTGTGAGTTGGGTGAAAAAAAAGACGGGACCTGGTATATACAACCTATCGACAGTAGAGGAAGTAGAACGTATATTGACAGCTTGAACCTAAAGTAGTTTTGGCTTCCTTGACTCTCTAGTGGTATTTCTTGGATCTCAACTGGGACTTTATTTGTACCTATTGTTTACTTGATATCCAAAGTCTAGTATTATAAAATTTCCTACTAGTTACCTGTTTGAAATGCACACAAGTTATTTATCACTTTTTTGTCACTCCTACATGCCCTAAAACACCTTGACCATGTGGATTTTTTTTTTGAACAACCCGAAATTGATATTTTGCCTTGCGTTTTACTAATGCGTTTTCATATTTTTTTGTTCGGATAATTTTTGTTTTTTAACTGGTTTATCAGGCCTTAAATAAATCATTTGATCTTAAGATCACAAATGATAAGTTGATCAATTTATAAAACAATGTGTTTGCATGGGTTGAATGCACATACTGATTAATCTCAACTTCATGTGTGTATACAGTGCTTCTTTGTTTGCTTAGAATCTAAATTTGGCTGCTTACTCTCATAAGCTGCCCAACAGCTGCTCAGATCTCTTTCTATTTGATCATTTCTTTCTGATTTTTTAATTTTATGTACATTGTAGATGGTGTCAGATTAAGATTACATCTAGTGTTTGAACAAAGTGCTTATTGCTCAAATGTGTTGGTTTTTCATTCATACAAAGGCATATCCTATATCAGGAATTGTTTATGTTTTTAGCTTGCTATCTGGTATTGCTATGAGCTGGTAATTTAAAGGATAATCCTTCTATTTTTCTTATCCAATTAGGACATTGCACTATGTGGAAATTGCTATTGACAAGGGAACTAATGCCTTCTTCATTTTGGTTTGGTGTAATGTTCCTGACATCTAGACATATCTATAATAAGAAATTAAGCAGAAATTAATGGCATACTCTATATGTTGTTGGTGGATATGATGGAAGAAATTACTTGAAGTAAGATTTCATTTCTTTTTATTTCTCATCTATTATTTTACTAGCATATCACCTGTGCTATGCACAGATTGTGTTTATAATTATTTATATATGTGAATTGTGATTTTTAAATTTTTTTTAAATGTCTTCTTTTTTTCTTTTTTTATATTATATTAAAGTTTAATATTTTGATAATAATCATATGTGGTGGGCTTTTCAAGGAATTAAATGTTTTTTTTTATAATTATATTATATTAAAGTTTAATATTTTGATAATAATCATATGTGTTGAACTTTTGAAGCAATTTTTTTTATACTTGTTCTTAATGCATTAAAGTGTTATTATGAGGGATAATAATCATATGTGTTGAGACTTTTCAAGGAATTTATATGCGTTGGATTTCAAATAATTTTTTTTATGCTTGTTCTTAATGCATTAAAGTGTTATTATGAGGGTAAGATTTGGGAGTTGTGACAAGTTAATAAATGCTAAGATTTTTTTTAAAAAAAAATCAAAAAATCAGAAAATTTAAATTGGGAGATTGGAACTCCCACAATGCTTGGGGTTAAAAACCCCCCTTTTACTTAATATATAGTATAGATAGATGCATGTATACATATAAAGCACAATACACGAGTATTCAATAAATGTATTCATGCTTTCATCCTTATTTTGATTATGAAAAGATTTGAATAAATATAGAAAATAGCAACACAAAAGATTTACTTAAACTAATGTCATCACATTATCATTTCCAGAATCACCACTCTACCTCCTCACCGCCACACCTCCACCTCTAGCTCCTCTACTACCCCACCACTACTGCCATCACTATTGCCTCCTTCTCCTTTTCTCTACCCCGTCACTAGCCTATCACCCGTGCTATGCACGGGATAATTATAAGTATTTATATTTGTTTTAGTTTTTTTTTATATATAAATTATGTTTTTTAAGATTTTTTATAAAAATAATTTAACAATCTTATTACTAACCATAGTGTATGAGAGAAGTTAAAAAGGTACTGCAGTAACTATACACAGATTGTATCTATAGTTATTTGTATGAGGGGATTTTAAATGTTGATCAAGTGATTTTGACTAAATCAATAAATGCAGGCATGTGGATTGAAAAAAGTTAATAAATGCTGATCAGAGGGTTTTGACCGAATCAATAAATGCTGAGTTTTTTTTTTTAATAAAAAATTTAGAAAATTCAGATTGAGATATTGAAACTTCCACAGGCCTTGGGGTTAAAAAACCCCCTTTTGCTTAAAAACCCCATTAAGTGTTTATATTTATCTAACTTCAATTATATTAAAAAATCAAATTATAAACAAAAGGAGATAACTTCAATCATACAAATTATAATTTTTTTAATGATATCTAATTACAACCATATTTTTCTCATAATAAAAAATAATAATTGAAAAAAAGAACCATTAAAATAGTAAATAAAAATATTATTTAGAGCCATTGAACAAACTACAATCACATATTTCTTTTTATGAGTTAACTTCAATCATATTAAAAAATCAAATTATAAACAAAAGGAGATAACTTCAATCATACAAATCACAATTTTTTTAATGCTATCTAACTACAATGAAATTTTTCTCATAATAAAAAAAATAATTGAAAAAAATAACCATTACAATAGTAAATAAAAAAGATTATTTAGAACCATTGAACAAACTACAATCACATTTTTCTTTTTGTAAGTGTTTATGTTTATCTAACTTCAATCATATTAAAAAATAAAATTATTATCAAAAGGAGATAACTTCAATCATACAAATCACAAATTTTTTAATGCTATCTAATCATCATCAATAATTAAAAAAATCAATCACAAATTAAGTCAATTGATAATTAAAAAATGGGATTTTTATTGATAAATCTCATTTAGAAGTGTTTTAACCCAAGAAGTCCATGAAGGAATTTTTTAACCCATTTAGTCCCATGTATGTATAGTTTTATTCTATAAAGTCTTTTTTTTTTATTTACACTATTTTCTTGGACACTTATGCCCTTATATTTAATTTTGATACCCTTATAAATATTTTTTGAACGGTTAGCAATTTTATGATGTAAAAATTCATATTTTAAAATTCACATTGGTAGGAATGTAAAATTGGCCTGTGGGCGGCCTGAAACCCGCCCACGAGCCGGGGCGGGCCCGGCCCGTTGACAATGTGAATATTCACATTGACATGTTAACATTCACATTAATAGGAGTGTAAAATTGGCCCGCGTCCCGTGGTGGCTCGAAACCCACCAGCGACCCATGGGAGGCGCAGGGCGGGCCCGGTCCGGCCCATTAACAATGTGAATATTCACATTGACATGTTAACATTTACATTGATAAGAGTATAAAATTGGCTCGCGGCCCATGGGTGGCCAAAAGCCCCCTTCCACGGCGAGCCCGACCCGGCCCGTTGACAATGTGAATATTCACATTGACATGTTAACATTCACATTGATAGGAGTGTAAAATTAGCCCGCGCCCCGTGGCTGCCCGAAACCTGCCCACGGCCCGGGACGAGCCCGGGGCCTATTAACAATGTGAATATTCACATTGGCATGTTAACATTCACTTTGATAAGAGTGTAAAATTGGCCAGCGGCCCAGGCGAGCCCGACCCGGCCCGTTGACAATTTGAATATTCACATTGACATGTTAACATTCACATTGATAAGAGTGTAAAATTTGCCTTGACCAGCGGCCTAGGGCAGGACCGACCCGGCCCGTTGACAATGTGAATATTCACATTGACATATTAACATTCACATTGATAGGAGTGTAAAATTAGCCCGCAGCCCATGGCTACCCGAAACCTGTCCACGGCCCGTGGGCGGCCCGAGGCGGGCCCGACCCAACTTGTTAACAATGTGAATATTCACATTGACATGTTAACATACACATTGATAGGAATGTAGAATTGGCCCGCGGCCCATGGGCTGCCCGAGGCGGGCCCGGTCCGGCCCGTTGACAATGTGAATATTCACAGTCAGGTCGATGGGCCTGGGCCTAGCCTCAGGCTTGGGTCGGGCTTGGGCGGGCTTGGCCATTTTTTTTAATTCTTTTTAATTTTTTCTACCAAAATTTTATTATTTTCCACAAAAAACGACACTAGGTCTCGGCCCAGGCCGAGCCTCGGACCGAGCCTTGAATGGGCCTTAACCGGGCCGATGGGTCGGGCCGGGCTTCAAAGTGATGGCCCAGGCCCTAGCCTAGGGTCTCGGACTAAGCTCGAGCCTGGGCCCAAACGAGCCTTTCTCGAGTTGCGGGTGGGCTTCGAGCAGCCTACTTTCTTTTTGACTATTCCATTAAGTCCTATTTGAGGTAAGAAGACTAAAATACCATTTTCATCTATTTATATTCTATTTAGTCCACATTATTTTCTTATGTTTGAATAAGTCCTATGGGAGACATAATTACCAAAATACCCATAATGTGAATGTTCACATCGTCAATGTGAATGTTCATATCATCAATGCGTAGAGGCCTGGGCCGGCCCATATCGAGCCTCGTAGGTGTTTGAAAAAAATCTGGGCCGGCCCACAGGCCAAAAAATTAAGCCCAGGCCCTAGCCCTAGCCCTAGCACAAGGGTATTCGGGCTTTGGACGGGCCGATGGATCAAGCCTCGGGTCGGGCCGATGGACCTGGGCCTAGCCTCGTGCTTAGGTCGGGCTTGGGCGGGCCTGGCCATTTTTTTTTAATTCTTTTTAATTTTTTCTGCCAAAATTTTATTATTTTTCACAAAAAAAGACATTACGCCTCGGGCAGGCTGGGCCTCGGACTGAGCCTTGAATGGGTCTTAAGCGGGCTGATGGGCCGGGCCAGGCTTCAAAGTGATTGCCTAGGCCCTAGCCTAGGGTCTTGGACATGCTCGGGCCCGGACCCAAACGAGCCTGCTCTGGGCCGTGGGCGGGCTTCGGGCAGCCCACGGGCCGCAGGCCAATTCTACATTCCTATCAATGCGCATGTTAACATGTCAATATGAATATTCACATTGTCAACGGGCCGGGCCGGGCCTACCCCGGGCCGCAGGCAAGCTTCGGGCAGCGGGCAAATTTTACACTCCTATCAATGTTAATGTTAACATGTCAATGTGAATATTCACATTGACATGTTAACATTAACATTGACAGGAATGTAAAATTTGCTTGCTGCCCGAAGCTTGCCCGCGGCCCGGGGTAGGCCCGGCTCATTGACAATGTGAATATTCACATTGACATGTTAACATTAACATTGACAGGAATGTAAAATTTGCTTGCTGCCCGAAGCTTGCCCGCGGCCCGGGGTAGGCCCGGCTCATTGACAATGTGAATATTCACATTGACATGTTAACATTAACATTGACAGGAATGTAAAATTTGCTTGCTGCCCGAAGCTTGCCCGCGGC